AAAAAGGGGGGGGGGGGGGGGGGTGAGAAGGCGGATGACCAAACTACCATTCACTTCTGTTGTCGTGGTATTGCCTGCCAGGGTCGAGGACGACGGCGTTACATAGCCGCTTTCTCTTTCTCTTTCTTCTTCGACCAGCAAATACTGGTTGGGTTGTGATATAAGGGTCCTGCCTGAGGGTGCGTGAAAGAACGGGCAAATATTTGTTTGTTTCTGGATAGAATTTGCGATCAGCAACTTATCCTCGTGACGTGATAACAAAACTTGTGGTATTATCTCGAACGGGTAGTCTATCTTTCATTGTACATAATATCCCAAAAAGAGAAGAAAAAAGGAGAGCGTACATCCACCAAAGAGCGAGAAAGATTCATGAAGTACTGCTCGACCGACACACGGGGCCGCCTTTGTCACCCCCACCCATCCACCCACCTGAAGCTCAACATGACGTGCCCCATCTCCGAATGGCACGTGTAGATCGGGGCGTTGTCCGCGCGCACCCGAGAATCCCATGCTTTCACCTGACACAATCCAATCCATCACGTTCGCGAGCACACAGCGCACCGCACACTCACCAACGTTAGCCTCCTACATGCAATGATTCCAGAATCGTCATCAGAACACGGGACATCGTTGGTGAAAAGTGGACATTGTAGCCGCGTATCAAAAAAAAAGAAGAGGATCGAGCCTTGCTGCGAACCCGGAGCACACGTCTGGAAATAAACCTTCGATTTGGGCCCAAAATCCCGCCGGTCCTACATAACTACAGCAGTACAGCTCTTGTAAAAGCACTTGCAGCATCGCGCAAACATCAACGAAGAAACACGTGAAAAAGACACTGATTTCGTAACATATCGCTGGAAGCGGTACGATGATTCTAATACCACCCCTCAAGACGGCAGTGCATACACCTCCCCCCCCGCAAACTTCCAAGAAATTAATGAACCGCGGTCGACCAATCTTGCTAACAGCAGTCCCCATCTTGCATAGTATATGGGATATAGTATAATCATATTTAGACTATACACCTGGACATATACCATGTAGGAAAGACATACACAAGATTTAGAATAGTGATACACAAACCCATACACCTTTCTTATCTAACGGGTATTGACTGTGATGTTATTTATTGTGTGCTCTGTTTAACTATCAAATCTAGACATACACCAGGTACGTAGGGAGGATTTAGTATGACCCTGCATATACACAGAGTTATACATCTCTACCATATGGATTTTAGAGTGCTGCGATGCTATATAGGAATATGCTGCTGTGTGCTCTCTCACAGTCTTGTCGAAGCTAGACGTGGCGAAGACGAAGGGCGAGTGGTTCGCGAACCGGCTGATGTTGATGTGATCCTCGTGTACATCCTTGAAATCTCGAACCACCTGAAGGGTGGAAGGAAGGACGGAAGGAAGGAAGGAAGGAAGGAAAAGGCAAAAAGACGGGGTGAAGGCGTCATGCTGGTGACAGGGTCCCCAGAGACAAGGGAATCAAGGTGTGAGTGGAAAGGGCATTTGGGCCCTATGGCTATACCGGGTACTAACACATCACGGACGCGCACATACGAGAGTCAAAGGCAGCACAGCGGGGCCCGTCTCTTTTCTTTTCGCGTTTAGCGCACACCCCACAGACACACAAGTGAGAATGTTACAGCGCGTCGGTTTGTCTCCAAACAAAGGCGCAAAAAAAACAAAAAAAAATGTGTTGAGCGCATACACCCACTCACCCAGACAGTGAGAAAAAAAAAGTTACAGCAAGTCTTCTCCTGCGTGACCACGGGTTGGAGTAAACGGCACAAGTGCTGTGAGCGCTGATTTGAAGTCAAGACAAAAAAAAAAAAAAGCAAGTCTATTCCAGTTCCGAGTCAGGCACACATACAGACGAAAAAAAAAAAAAAATACTCACCTGACCCGTGCTGAGGTCGAAAAGCTTGACGCCGTACGTGTAGCCAGAAGCCAGCATTTGGTCATCGGTCGAGTTGATATGTACAGACGTCAGCTTCTCGAACAGCGAGAACTCGGTAACGATTCTCCCCTCTGACAACGGAGGAGGCGTTTCGTTGGACGGGGTTTGGCGCGTGTCGGGGACGGGGGTTAGGCGACGTCGCCGATGGGCGGGGCTAGGGCTCTTCCAACACGGAGGTCATCTCAACCAGAAGACACTGGCGAGCATCGGGGGGGTCGGGGGGGGGGAGGGTGCCGCCGCCCGCGGGTGTGTGTGACACCCTGTTACATGGTACATGTGCTCTTGTGAGGAATACCACAAACGAACGATCACTCATACAAACGACCATACAAGCATGAACGATGAAAAAACGAAAAAGGTGTGCCGTACACAAATACCGAATAAAACAGTGGTGCAACAAAAAAAAGTTGAAAGCAACCGCGTACATCCTCCTAAACGCCACGTCTCGATGACGTTTCGAGATTCCGATCGGGAGTGCATGTACAACTTACACATACGTTTACGGGCACACGCATGCACGCTGAGGGGCGACCAATCACTCCAACAACATCGTTCCGAACCTTCCGAGAACCGGTGGTCCAAACCGATTGGACCGTTCCCGGGACCGTTCTCCACCCCACCCAAGGAAGGATAAAGCACCCCGCCGGCGGCCCTACTAACGGCTCTACCACCGAATGGCATCGCCTCCTGCACCGCGTTGGACCGGCTGTTCAAGTCGCCGTGGTGATCTTGCAGGAGCTCCTCTGCCCTCTCCGCGGCTTCGGAGGCCTTTCGTGTCCCCACGGAGGGCATCGCGCCTGCATCGCACAGCCGCAGACACCTGGACCCGATGGGAGGGATAGCGTCAGGGATAGCGTTAGGAAAAGCGCTACGGTTAAGTAAAGAATAACTTCAGGGATAGCGAAAGGGACCGCGTTAGAGACAGCGTTGGCGACAGCGTTAGGGATAGCGTTAGGAAAGGCGTTAGGCATAGCGTTAGCGAAAGCATTAGGGATGGCGGTAGGGATAGCGCTAGGGACAGCGTTGGGGATAGCAACTGGGACAGCGATACGGACAGCGTTGGGGATAGCGCTCGGGGCAGCGATAGGGATAGCGATAGGGATAGCGATAGGGATAGCGATAGGGATAGCATTGGGGATAGCGGTAGGGTAGGGACTAGGGCGAGGGTTCCACATCAGGACTGTTCGTGGGCTTTATTTACTTCGATGGGACGTCGACAGCAGCGAGAGAGAGGGAGAGATAGATACTAAAGACACATCTTCTATGCGCGGTCGGGCAATAATCATGTCTCTTTTTGAGCGAGAGTGGACGGGGAGCTTCTGTTGTACCCAGTCCACCAAAGGAAGCAAGACGACAACAACACGGGTAAATGTACATGTAGTTCTTTTTCAGTGGCTGCATGTACGCATAACTGTAAAAATATATATCACCCATGGCTGGAGCCGACTACGAAACGGCTGCGGGACTGTTTCATCCAGCATTTCGTCTTTT